GGGGTGGAGAAGAAAGAGAAGAAGAAAAAAAAAAAAAAGATCCGTTTTCAGAACTGAAAACGTGAAAATGAAAACAGGTTTTTTTCATTTTCACTTTTTCAGAAAAGACAAACATTTTTGTTTTTGTTTTTCAAAAACTTTTAAGCCAAACACATTTTCAGTTTGCATTTTCATTTTTTAGTCTTGAAAAACGTGAAAAATGAAAACGAAAACATAAACAAACAGGCCCAGTGAGAATGATTTTTGTGAATGAATTAGAAAACGGTTGAAAGTTGTTTTTCCTTTTCTGTTTTCATTTTTTAGTACTTATCAACAATGTTATAATATATTAATTAATAATTATAACCAAACACGATTTCACTTTTTTATTATACTCGAAACAATGTCTTAAAAAATCAATCAAACGCAATTTCAGAATTGGTCCTAGAATGATTCTCAAAACAATCTCATTTTTACTTTTGTACTGAAAACAAAATCATTTTGAAAACGTTACCAAACGGACCCATAGATTTTTGAAACGATATGACTTGTCACGAAAACAAAACAAAATACACACACATTATACACAAACAAATAAAAAGCATATACAAACAATTTTAACCTAGCATAGTAGCATGATCCATATCTGAAGGGAGTGATTGAAGAAGAAATAGGATACCTCAAAATTAGTTTGAAGTGTTCTGCACATTCTTTACAAGGGTACATGCGTGATAGTATTGACATCTGTATCCCATCATAATAAATAAATCTAAACATCTTATTCAAGAATAATAGACAGTTGGAGCGATAAAGTGGGAAAATGTATTACCAATTCTTTAACATCTTTCTTCTGTTGCCTTGTTGGTTTATCTGGGTACTGAATAGACAAATTAAAACCAAATAAAATAATCAAAGTCTAAGAAATACAGCCATTCAATAAATAGAATATGTAGCATGAGTGTTGACGTGATTTTCAAGGCACCATTTTGAAGCGAAGTGTTCCATAAGTCAATGGAAAAGGCAAAAGAAATAGGGGGGAAAAAAAGTCGTATGTAATGTGATAGAAGCAGAAAGAATGACTGTGGAACAATAAAATTTGGCAAAATAAAGTTGACATGTAAGAAGGAACATGACCATGCATGTTAAGAGTGTGAAGAAATACCCTGGCAGCAAGAGTGTGAAGAAATGTCCATGAAGCCCTACCAAGCTCTTCTTTCGACACCGGACCTGCAGTTTTTCCCTGAACAAATTACCATCATTAGGTTTCTACTATCACAAATCATAAAGTTCCCTTAACCAATTGTCAAATAAACAGACAAATTTAACTCTTAATATAGCTCCACAAGCGAGACTAATTACAGAAAACTTATTATGAAGTAAACAAAACAAGAAACACCCAAAAATAACTCAATTCGCTTAATGAAAAGCAAAAGACTTTCATTCAGGACTTATATCAAACAGTTGGTGAACTACTAAACTAAGCAACTTAAAAGACACAACAGCAAGAATCAAACTTGTGAATTAGTCATATACAGAAATGAAAAGGTCAAAATCCAAGTTCAGAATAGTTATATAGAGTAAACAGAATGCACCAAATAAGCGAAAAATTACCTTCACATCGTGGGACTGGAAAGCAGAGGAGTTTCTGGTGGATGGGTTGAGCTTGGAAGAGTGAGAGATAGAGGAGATTGGTTGTTGTTTAACGGTGGGCGATTGGTTATGAGGTTGGAGTTGGAGAGTTAAACTGGAGAGGTGAATTTGGATGAAGTTGGAAACTTTCTCGAAAGAATGTAGTATAAGCTGCAATGGATTCTCGGGCATTCTCGCCGAGAGAGAGGATAGGCGCAGGAAAAGAGGTTGATCTTCGCGAGTGTATTCGAGAAAACCAAAGCGGTTCACTGTCGGTAAACCGACTGCCGATTATATCTCTCTCGCTAATAAAAAGGTTGGTAAGGGCATGTTCTTTTGTTTAAAAAATTCAAAAAAATACAACTCGAATTTTAATTTTATTCAAGTTCACGTTCTTTTAAATTTTAACTTTATTCAACTTTACTTAATTTTATTCAAGTTACAACTTCAACTCAAGTTATAACTCAAAAATTACACTCAAATTACACTCCAAAAGAACAACCCCTAAATTTCTCTGTTTTTTTTTTTTTTTGCTTGAACATTAAATTTCACAAATTTACACAAAAGAATTATTATCACTATTGTACTTAAATTTTAGAGTCATTTTCAATTTGCTCCCCAACTTTAAAAGTTTTTATTTTACATCTTAAACTTTAAATTTATCTCAATTAAGCCATATTATAAGAATTTCTATTAAAATCAAACAGAAAAATAAGAATTAAGCGTGGTCATGCAGTTTTTATCTGTTTCTTTTTAACATAAATTCAAACAGAAATGTCACGTGACTGCGTTATTATCTATTTTTTCTAACTGTTTTTAATAGAAATTACAATATAAAAGTTAAAGTGGGAACAATTCAAAGTTTAGAAAGTAAAGTGAGAGTTTCAAAAGTTCAAGGGCAAACTGAGAATGACTCTAAAGATCATGGGCGACCAATGATAATAATCCTTATATAAAATAAAGGGTATAGTAGGTCAGTCTTACCGGTAGTGTCACTTCTTGGCCATTAAATTAAGTCAAAATCACATGAGATTGAAAAAATATACAGTACAAATAGTTTTTTATATAGATCTAACGACTGAAAATAAAGAACTACTAATAATTTATTTTTTTCTAGTCCTCTTAGAGAAACTCGTGAACATAAATTATATAGGAGTATGTGACTTAGAGATGGCAATAACCCCCACATGGATGTTCGGGGCCGGGATGGCGAACAATTATCGGGGATGAGACGATGACAAAATCTAGTTCTCCATTCGTGGTAGGGCAGGGATGAGGAAGTACTCCCCACCCTGCCTCCACCTCGATCTTAATGTGTTATTTTTTATGTCTATATATATACACATAATCTTTTAAAATTACTTTTATCTTAAAAAAAAGTAAACACATATTTTTAATTAGGGAAGAAAAACTATCAATTATAGTTTCTCGTACAAAAAAAAAAAAAGGACAATTACCAATCTTCTCCTATTATATTTACGCATATGAGTGCACTTTCTAGTCCCTCCTCATTCACTATTAAAGCTATTACCAATAGACAATAAAGGGCAATTTACGATTAATGTTTTGATGTTTTTAAACTTTTTTTGCTTATGCATTAGTTATTACTTTTAGATTCAGTTTTGCAATATGTTAAGAATTTGATTTTTAATATTGAACTTTTGATTTTGGTTTAAATTGATAATGAATTTTCACTCTATTTTTATTTTGAGTTGCTATAATTTTAAAATGTATAGTCTTATATTATGGGAAATTAAGCGGGTATAAAGAAGGTCCTTCTAATGGAGAACTCCCGACTTCGACCCGCTCCTCCTTAAGTGGGAATAGAGATGGAAATAAAGATAGTTTAGGGGTGGGGATGGGGATGAAAAATCATCATCCACCCTTACTCTGCGCCATTGCCATATCTAATATAACCGGTGTTAAGGCGCTTTCTTATTTTTTCTTTTTAAAGTTGAGAATTTTGTTAGAATGTCTATTTTTTTTTATGAAGTTAGAATGTCTATTAAAAGAAATGAAATTGTTAACAAATTTTATTTTTATTTCTTTTACAAAGAACATCATTCCTAGTAAAAAAAAAATTGTTTCTAATTGTTCTATAATCATTTTATAAAGTAAAATATTTTTAAGTATTATCTACTAATAAAATTTTATTATTGTCAATTTTTATGTTATGGACATCTTATAAATAAAAATTGGGAGTTTTTTCCTTAAGACCAGAAAAATAAAATTACCAATAGTTTCATTTTTTAGTCATTTTTAGCTGTTAGATCTGTATTATAAACTGTCTATTATGTATATTTTTTCAATCTCATTTGATTTTACAAGATCTAATAATTAAAAAACTGATCCTACAGTTGGACGGTTTAACACAGATTGTCCCGAAAATTTTTTTGAAATATTATTGACTAATAAAATTTTCTCATCAAGTCACTTTTATGTTTATTATTTTTCAAAAAGAGAAATATATGTTATTTCGCCAAGTAGGCAAGTACAACAAAATGGCCACGGAATAATAAGTAATTAATAGCAAAAAAATGAGATTCACCAAAAAAAAAAAAAAAAAAAAATACAAAAATAAAATGGGGACATTGATGATGTTACATGGGATTCTTCAATTATTTCGCACTCAAAATCCACGGAGCAATAGCCAATAATGCTAATTATCAAAAAAAAAAAAAACCCAAAAATGCTCAAGTGTCCGCCAATCTCCGTAGTCTTGCCATTCGTCCACGTGATAATACGTGCAATCTCTATGGTTGGGCATAACGTGTAAGCCAAATGTCAAACCTTTGACTTCTCCTTGTTCAAGAGATGAGCTTCTCCACCACTCCCAAAAAAAGATCTGGATTTGGCAATCTTCCCAAGATGTTTGGGATTCAAACTGTGTTTTACAACAGCTCCAAAACATTGAATCCCACAATTTAACTAAAGATCTCAAGAGTTCTCATTTTGGTAAATCCTCCAAAACAGGTATTATTACTATCTCCTCTCACAACTGAATCTTCCAGTTTTGGCAACTGTTTTTTGTTTTTCAACAATTTAGGCAAAGGCCATTTCAGTAAATTCGTTGAACTGCTTGTGACATCAAATTTTGCTTCCAATCATCTATTTAGTTTCTCCTTTTCCTGTGGATTGGTGAATAGGGAATGACAAGTAATGGCGAGAATATTGCTGTTATCAAGAAAACACCAAAACTTACTCTTCTTCCTCTTATTGCTTTGATATTCTATGATGTTTCTGGGGGTCCTTTTGGAGTTGAGGATTCAGTAAAGGCCGGTGGTGGACCTCTTTTGTCTTTGCTTGGTTTCTTGATATTTCCTTTCATTTGGAGCATCCCTGAAGCTTTGGTAACAGCAGAACTAGCCACAAGCTTCCCCGAAAATGGAGGGTATGTGCTTTGGATATCAACAGCATTTGGGCCATTCTGGGGGTTCCAAGAAGGGTTTTGGAAATGGTTTAGTGGGGTTATGGATAATGCCCTTTATCCTGTTTTGTTCCTTGATTATCTTAAGCACTCGATACCGATCTTCAATCGATTAGTAGCTCGAATTCCAGCTCTTTTGGGGCTTACAGTTTCATTGACTTACTTGAACTACCGAGGTCTGCATGTTGTCGGGTTTTCGGCTGTTGCTCTTGCCGTCTTCTCGCTTTTCCCCTTTGTTGTGATGGGTGTTCTTTCGATTCCTAGAATTAGTCCTAAGCATTGGCTTGTGGTGGACTTCAAGAAGGTGGACTGGAGAGGGTACTTCAATACCATGTTTTGGAATCTGAACTATTGGGATAAGGCAAGTACTCTTGCAGGGGAGGTTGAAAATCCGAGTAAAACGTTCCCCATGGCGCTTTTTGGGGCTGTGGTCTTGGTGGTTTCTTCGTATTTGGTCCCGCTTCTTGCTGGGACAGGAGCTCTTGGAGCCAATTATGGTGCATGGAGTGATGGGTACTTTGCGGAAGTTGGACTGTTAATTGGTGGCTCTTGGCTCAAGTGGTGGATTCAGGCGGCGGCTGCAATGTCAAACATGGGGTTGTTTGAAGCAGAAATGAGTGGTGATGCTTTTCAGCTTCTCGGGATGAGTGAGATGGGAATGCTTCCTGCTATCTTTGCTTCAAGGTAACTTTTTATCCTGCCTGGTTTTGTTTTCATAGTTATTCAATTACATAAACCCTTTGATTGTTTCCTTAATGAGTTGTGGAAATGATAATCTAAATGGGAGGAATTTCAAGGAAAACAAAAATCAGATATTATTGACAAAACCGAATTCTCATTTTAAGGTTGAACAAAACCGAATTCTGATATTGGTCTAATTGTCTTAGCTATGCAGTTCAGAAGATTATATGAAATTTGAGTACTTAAAAGGCTTGAAAGCTCTATAAGGGCCTTTTTTCAAGCCGTTCATTTCACTTTGTTTTATTAAAAAGAAAGTTACCAAAAAAAAACCATCAAACTTGTTATGTATGGGAAAGCTCCAAATATGATACCAACACTTGCAGTTTGGCGTATTTAAATCAATTTCATAGGTCGAAGCACGGGACGCCCACCATTAGCATTTTGCTTTCCGCTACCGGAGTCATCTTCCTATCTTGGATGAGTTTTCAAGAGATATTGGAATTTCTGAACTTCTTATACTCCATTGGAATGCTACTCGAGTTTGCAGCTTTTATAAAACTGAGAATCAAGAAGCCAGACCTTCACAGACCTTACAAAGTGCCCTTCCAAACATTTGGGGCAATCATGCTTTGTGTGCCTCCTGCATTGTTGCTTGTTCTTGTCATGTGTTTGGCTTCTTTGAGGACATTCTTTGCGAGTGGTGCAGTAATTATTGTGGGGCTTTTATTGTACCGCATTTTAGTTCTTGTAAAGGATAGGAACTTGATGCAATTTTGTTCCGAACAACCTGCTGTGGAAAGCCACTCAGTTGTGTCACAACAACTCCAAGAAGTTGCAGACGAGGCTGCGATCGGCCTTCTCTCGGACTTGTCTGCTAAGACGGAAGAAGAATCCTCAGAAATCCGCTTTGAAGGCGTCCTGAAAGTCGATTAAAGTGGTCCGTTTTAACTATTGAATTATAACTATATTGATGGCTAACTCTCCACATAATCAGGTTCACCGCTATGGAGAACCACATTACTAATTCTTTGGCTTGTTCACCATATTTCTTTTTACATATGGAGTTTGCAAAGACTGGAGTAGATAACCCAGAACTCTGCATACAAAAACTATGTTTATTATGTTGGCAGACGCAGAGCACAAAGTTTCAAACGTGAACCTTTGCGTGGTGTCATTTAAAAAACTAACTTTTCCAAAAATACTTTCTTCTTAATGAGCAAACCAGACTGGAAAAGGAAAAAAAATAGCATAAAAAGGCCTATAGAGCGGGATGGAAAGGCCTTTTGACATGACTTGGTTCTACTTTGCTTGCTACCACAATTCTTTGTATTACACGTCTTAAGGGCAAAAAAAATTAATCCAAAAAGAAAAGGCAAGCGTTTTATGGCAGGGCTGTATTTTGCCCAATCGATAGGTTATTTATGGGCCTGTTTAGTTCACTGATTCGAGTTTTTAATTTAAGTTGAGATGTGATTTTATTTGAGAGCTTTTTACATTAGTAAAAAAGTTAGATGTGATTGTTTCTGAGAGCTCTTTACTATAACAAAATTCGAATTATAAACTCGAATCGATAAAATAAAATCAGGGCTATGTTTAGTTATTTGATCAAATTTTAAATGATATGATTTATGAGTATGTAGGTTAAAAATAATGCAGCAAACATAATAAAAGTATTCTTACTCATTGATCAGGCCATTGAAATTTAATTAAATAACTAGTAAAAACTTAACCTAACTCTAGGATAAAACAACATGTGCTATGGTAAAATTTTTCATGAGGATGATTAGAGAAAAGAAGAAGTTTTTTTGTACATACACTCTCTCGACTTTACAAGTTTGGTAAACTAGTCCTTAACGTTCAATCTTAGCAATTTACCGTTTAAATTTTGAAATTTGTCACAATGTTGATCAAACTGAAATTGAAGTTAAAATTTTTTTGAAAAAATAGAGAATTTACCTTGAGAGTGCATGAATCTGAACCTTTACCCTTTACTCTTGATAAATACTCTTTTGTTAGTGTAATTATTTGACTAACAAGGTTATGAATAAAGAGAAAAGGGTAAAAATCACGATTCATGTACTTTCAATGGATATTTGTCAAGATTACCTTAAAATTTTGGATGATTTCCTCCACATGAGTGTTTAACTAGGGTAATTCTAATATTTTTGCATCAAATTGATCCCCCCATATGCATATCATGAGGTTTTTTTTTTTTTTTTTGTAATTAGGGGACCACCGACTCTTCCCCAAAAGCGGTTAACGTCCCATTTTAAAATAAATTTCACTCGTGAAAGTATATGGGCCCAATTTGATATAAAAATATCAGAATTACCTTCATTAAACACTCACGTAGAAGAAACCATCTATAATTTTAATTTCGGTTTTAATTTAACTATCATTACAACAAATTTTAAAGATTAGAGGATAAATTATTGAGATTGAAAATTAAGGGACTAATTTACTAAATTTGTAATGTTATGCTGGATGTCGTAAAATAATCAGAAGAAATGACAAAGCTAACTTCAATTGAACTTCCCCAATAGGGTCCGAACTAGGGGTGGCAATTCGTGTCACGTGTCGTGTTCGTGTCGTGTTTTGATCGTTTTTTTAAAATTTTCAGTCAACCCGAACACTACCCGTGACACGAAATTTTTTAAAAACCGCAACACGAACACGACACGACCACTTTACGAGCTGACACGACACGACCCGAAAATGACCTGTGACACGAAATTGACCCCGTGAACCCGAAATTGACACGAAAATTGTATACTTTTATTTAGTTTTTTACATATTAGAAATAACTTAAAATCCATAACACACTAAATTACAATAACATCCATTGAAATTAAGCAAATAATAGTATAAGATTTTGAGTATAACTATCATGATATCACAAGTTCATAATAAAATTTAAAATATGAAATGAAAAATATATGTATTTTTTAGTTTTTCACGAGTTTCGTGTCGTGTTCGGGTTAGGCGGGTCCAACCCGAAATTGACTCATATTTTTCGTGTCAATTTCAGGTCGACCCAATTCTGACCCGAACATCTTTTTTCTCAACCCTAACCCGCAAAATTCGTGTCGTTTTCGAGTCGTGTCGTCGTGTCGTGACCCATATTGCCGGTCCTAATCCGAACCAATCAAAGGCCGGTTTGTTTAGAAAAACAAAAGCTAGCTTTTTTAGTATGAGGAATAAGAAACAATAGAGTTAAAAGAACGTGTTATTCCATACATAGAGAACTTAATAATGAACACACGAAGTTATGAAGAACGTGAGAAATAAACTCATTCAAGGAAAAAGTGCAAAGCTAAAATTTAGAAAACAACACCAATTTTGAGATCCAATAAATTTCAATATAATTATAAAGTCAGTAGGCCTGTTACAAAGAAATATTCCTTTCCATTTGTCAGACAACTACGACACATATAAAAGAGGTTCGAAGCTTTTTACATATAAGATACTTGATATTTTTGTTGCAAGCCCGGTCCACTTTTACAAGCTCATGGAAACAAATTGTGCGTTTAGAATTAGTTTTAAAATAATTTTATTTTTAATAAAAAGTAAAAATGAGATTATTTTAAAAATTATTATGCGACTGATTTTAAAATTGTGTTTGATTATTTTTTTTATAAATTATTTTGAGTATAATAAAAAAGTGAAATCGTGTTTATTAATTAATATATTATAATATTATTGATAAGTACTAAAAAATAAAAACAGAAAAGTGAAAATAACTTTCAACTGTTTTCTAATTCCTTCACAAAAATCATTCTCATTGTTTTCGTTTTCATTTTTATTTTCAAAACATTTACTAAATAAACGTCGTTTTGTTTTCATTTTCATTTTTTACTTATCAAAATACGTAAAAATCATTTTTAAAAACAGTTCCAAATACGCACTTTGTATTTTTAGATGCATCAGTTATATACCTAAAAAATATAAGTTCATGAACTGAATAAATGTATACTCTTTTGTGTCTACAATATTAGAGACTATGTTTAAAATTTTCTTTTTAATAAAGTGTTCAAGTATATTAAATTGTAGACGGTTAGGTCATATTAAGAAAGACACATGTTATACTTATACTACGTGCCATTTTATAAACATAAATAAAAATTACGAAAATAGTATAAAATAAGCCAATATGAAAAATTTAAGAAAGTATATAGGCCAACTTTTAGTTATAGAAATTAATAAGCCATAACTTGTTAAGTTATGGTTCATAACCAGATAAGTTATGAACAAACTTGTCAAGTTATGTTTCATAGCCAAACAAGTTATGGACAAAAATCATGAATTATGGACAATAATTTATTAAGTTATGGTTTATAATCGGACAAGTTATGGACAAAAACAGTAATTTAACTTATTTATTAACTTATGTAAACTATTAA